CTAAATAATTTTTGTTTAGTAACGATTTTAATTTAGGGTCGGGTTTTTGTGAGAATTTGACCCACTACTTGTTGGTAAAAAAATAGCTCAAGAGTTGGTGATTCTTTCTTGCCTTTCACGGCTAAATTAGGGACGGGTAGCGCAGATAACCCTCGTGTAACTTTGTGCGAAATTCAAACCAGAGACTAAGCCATATTTCGATGCTTTTTCCTAACACTTTCCTTTCAGCACTTTTCCTTACATTTAAGTTAAGAAGGACACTTTCATCCTACCGCCTTCCTTTCAAAATGTTTCGTTCTGATTGTAGTTCGTCATTATTTTTTAAAATAATTTTCGTTGATTCATTGTATAAGCTAAATCTTTGCTTATTTTACTCCTTAAATTCTTGTTTGCTTGTTGTTAAGCGCAAAGCTACATCTTGGGCTATCTGTGTTGCGCTCATCACGAGTATCGAAACCCAGTTTTTAGCGTTATAAGCCTTCAGACGATATAATTACTAAGTTTACACGTACAATTATATAAGTTGAAGAAATTGCCAACTTCATTGGGATCCAAAATTTTCTTGCTACAATTTGTCAAAAATATTTATCTTTGTACGAATTGATCGTGATGGGCTTCCATTTAAAATGTATTGTAAACGACATCGGTTAAATCGTTCCCTAAAAGGAAAAAGAAGATATTTCCATTCATAAAATGATTAAAATGTATTCATATTTTACTCTGAGTCACACATAAACACACAGAGACCTCGTGGTTAACACACCTAACTTAAACACGTTAACTTCATGCATACCTGTCCTGGTTAACTAACTCAACGACCTGGCTCTCTGTCAGTCCAGATTATATATCACACATTTCTTTGTCTGGGATCTACATTACTCGAATTCTTATGATTCATGGAGATTATACTTTTTTGAACAATAGTCAGGTATATTTTATACATGAATAAATAGATTATATAAAGCAGGCACCACTTGTTTTTGAAGTGGTTCGAGGTACAACAAACCTGTGTACATGTTCGAAGTGGTTTGTGTGTCAATGGGACACGAACCATGAACCTTCAGGTTCACAATATGGGCACGCTAACTAATACTTATCGAAAATCCAAAATTCGGTAGAATAACGCTTATATTGAGCATAACATTTAGCGATATTTTATTTGATACAGTGTTTTAACACAAAGGCTACAGGTTAGCTTTACTGATATTTTGGTTGGACTATAAAGAAAAAGAGGTTAAATTAGACGAAACTCTCTATGTTCCACACCAGGAATCATTTGTCTACGTTGCAATATTTCGTTTGAAATTAAGTTGGTATGATATGTTGCTGTTTGCACCAAGTTATCTCAGTGAAAATTCCTATTAAGCCGACAAATGCATTGATCAAAATACTATAGAAGAAACAAACGTGGTCATTTTAGTTTATGCGGTTTAAGGTGCAGATTCGATTTGAATTACAAAATATAATTTTGACTTTGATTTGAATGAAAGACAGTCAGATCTGAAAAGAAGCATTTGTAGTGTTAATTGTTTGTTTGTTTTTAATTTTGCGCAAAGCTACACGTCCCTAATTTAGCAGTGTAAGACTAGAGGGAATCAGCTAGTCATCACTACTCACCGCCAACTCTTGAGCTACTCTTTTACCAACGAATAGCGTCACATTATAACGCCCCCACGGCTGAATAGGTGAGCATGTTTGGTGGGACGGAAATTTGAACCCACGATTCTCAGATTGCGAGTCGAGCGCCATAACCACCTGGCCATGCCGGGCCTGTAGTGTTAATATTACTTATAACTGTTAAAAATAACAATATCAGCATACGCATAGAACAATATATTAGGTAATTTCTTCCTTGCAAAATGTAAGAAAATATTGTATCAAATTCTGGATATTTGACAAAGGACTGTTAGGGTAATATTTTTTTTTCTCAAAAAACAAAAAAGTCTAAGAAAGTTTCTTCCAAATTTCGTTAATTCAATAATTTTTATATCAAAATATAATTTCCATCTTATATTGTAATTATACATTTACCACATAAATATGTTTCCTTTCCATTACTTTCTTTCCACCGGTGGTCAGCAATAAGTTTCGCCTTCTGGGGTTCGATTCCTGCTGTGGAAAGAGTGTATATAGCCCATCACATTGTGTAGCTTTGCACGAAAAAAAACACCAAAACCACTACAAAATAAACAAGCGTTACTTTAAAATTCCCGTCCGTCTTCATTGAAACAGCAAAGTATTTTTTGTTTGGAGTGATCCACCCAATAAGATGTTTTCTCTTTCTTTTCGTTTTTCTTAAATCAATTGTTTGGTATAAATCTGTGAGCAGCACGCTTTTATTTTATTTTTGCTAAACATGGCCTTCATGTTTAGAAAAACATTGGATATTTTCTGAGTTTTATTTATTTTTCTATTCAATTTCGCTAGTATGATGCACTGTATTAAGTTTGTTTGTTTTTGAATTTCGCGCAGCCGTCCCTAACTAGAGGGAAGGCAACTAGTCATCACCACCCACCGCCAACTCTTGGGC